TCGAGTGCTGGAAGTGAGATTAAACGATATTTCAATAGTTCAGGAGTTTCCATAGGTTTTTCCAGAGGAATTACCAGGTTTACCTCTAGATCGTGAAGTGGAATTCATGAATGAGGTTTATCCGAGTACGAAACCTATTTTATGTCCCCATATTTAATGGCTCCAACGGAGTTAAGAGAATTAAAAGTCTAGTTTCAAGAGCTACTTGATAAGGAATTTATGAGACCCACTCTTTGGGGAGCATTGGTTTTATTAGTGAAAAATAAGGATGGCTCCATGTTGTTATATATTGACTATTGTCAGTAGAACAAAGTAACTATAAAGGACAAGTATCCTATTCTGAGGATTGATGATATTTCTGATCAACTAAAAGGTACAGCGGTGTTCTCTAAGATAGACTTAAGGTGATGGTACCACCAATTAAAGATAAAAAATGAGGATTTTACCAAGAAAGCTTTTCGAACTCTGTAAGGACATTACGAGTTCATGGTAATGCCATTTGGGATGACTAATGCTCATGCAGTGCTAATTTTGGTTATCTAATATTTCTTTCCTTGCTCATATAGTCTTCGCAGAAGGCATAGGAGTAGATCCTAAAAAGATCCGAGCTATAGTGGATTTGGCAACCCCCAAAGAATGTTTCTAAGGTTAGAAGTTTCTTGGGGCTTGTTGGTTATTATAGATAGTTCGTGAAGAACTTCTCAATGTTAGCTTTTCCGCTAACTAAGTTGTTGCAGAAAGATTTACCTTTTGTTTAGATGGAGAAATACCAAAAAAGTTTTGAATTGCTAAAGAGAAAAGTAACAGAGGCCCCAGAGATTCTACAACCTGAGTCGGTAAAGATTATGTAGTATATAGTTATGCATCTCATAATGAGTTGGGATGTGTACTCATGTAAGATGGAAAAGTAGTGGCTTATGCGTCAAGATAGTTGAAGAATCATGAGAGAAATTACCTGACACATGACTTGGAATTGGCAGCGGTAGTGTTTGTTTTGAAAATTTGGCGCCATTATCTATACGGTGAGCATTACCATATCTACACGGATCACAAGAGTCTAAAGTACTTGCTAACTCAGAAAGAGCTTAATTTGAAATAGAAAAGATGGATTGAGCTTTTAAAAGATTATGATCTGATCATTAATTACCGTCTAGGAAAAGCTAATGTGGTAGCTGATGCACTCAGTCGAAAGACTTTTACAGCTTTAGACATGCATATATCTTTAAATGAAGATGGTGCCTTGATTGTTTAACTTAAATTAAAGCTGATGCTATTGAATCGGGTAAAAGAGTTGCAAGGTCAAGATGAGAACTGTTTGTCGAGGATGGAACAAGTAGAAAAAGAAGAAACCAAAGACTTCGAAATGAGGGATGATAGATGTTTATATTATCGGGGAAGTTTATATTCCCGATAATGAGGAATTGAAGAAAGAAATTCTTTACGAGGCACACTATAGTCCTTTGATGATGCATCCAGGCGGGAATAAGATGTATCACGATTTAAAGAGTCGTTATTGCTGTCCTGGTATGAAAAGAGCTGCATTGGAGTTTGTTCAAAAAAGTTTGACATGTCAGCAAGTGAAAGTTGAACATCAAGTGCCTTCTGGATTGCTACAATCGACATCCAGTTTTGAGTGGAAGTGGGAGCGGGTTACAATGTATTTTGTTTTGGGGCTACCTTTAACACCGGGTAAAAAGGACTCGATATGGGTAATTATAGATAGATTAACCAAGACAGCTCACTTTGTTCCAATTCGAGTTGATTACTTGATGGATAAATATGCGGAATTATATGTAAAAGAAATTGTTCGGCTGTATGGAGTGCCAATATCAATAGTGTCTGATTGAGACCCAATATTTACTTCAAGATTTTGGAAGTCCTTGCATGAGGCATTGGGTACTTGATTGTATTTCAGCACAGCTTTTCATCCACATATAGATGGGCAGTCCGAACGAACTATACATAAATTGGAGGATATGCCAAAGACATGTGTGATTAAGTTTAAAGGCTCATGGGAAAGGTATTTGTCTTTAGTTGAATTTTCTTATAACAATAGTTACCAATCGAGTATTAAGATGGCCCCGTATGAAGCTTTGTATGGGAGGAAATGTCGAACATCATTAAATTGGTTTGAACTTAAAGATCGAAATCTTGTTGGCGCAGATTTTATGAAAGAAATAAAGGAGAAAGTAAAAAATATCCAGGATAATTTGAAGATAGCCTTTGATCGACAGAAATCTTATATTGATTTAAAAATTAAAGAAATCAAATTTTAAATGGGAGATAAAGTATTTCTGAAGGTATCACCTTGGAAAAAAGTATTACGATTTGGGTGAAAAGGAAAACTAAGTTCGAGATTCGTTGGACCTTATGAGATCTTGAAAAGGGTCATACCCGTAGCTTATCAATTAGTTTTGCCTCCATATATGGACAAGATCCATAATGTTTTTCACGTATCGATGCTTAGAAGGTAAAAATCATATATATCCCATGTCATTGCACTTGAAGAGATAGAAATCTTACCAGATTTAACTTATGAGGAAGAATCAGTATGGATCTTGGCTAAGGAAAACAAGGAATTGCGTAACAAAATGGTTTTGTTAGTTAAAGTTCTCTGGCAGAATCATAAGATAGAGGAATCTACTTGGGAAAGAGAGGAGGACATAAGGAAGCAATTTCCACACTTCTTCATTTCATGTACTTCTTTAAATTTGAGGACGAATTTTCTTAAGGGGGATAATTGTAATACCCCAAATGGTAAGTCATTGAGTATTTTGAAAGAACTTAAAAATTTGAGGATTTAATTTAATAGATGCTAAAGTATAAAGAATGATTTGAGTAAGATCAATTAGTAAGAAATGGATGATTGAAACGGAATTTTGTTCCTTTGGAATGAAATGAATTTAAAACTCATTTTTTAAAATAGGAATTTAAGAAAGGGGAAAGTAAAGAAAGTGGTTAAGTTATTTACTTCTCTTTTTCTTCTTCTTGTGGCTTTGTGCTCTCCTCCATAGACAAAGGTAAACTTCATCTAACTATTTTTTCCTTTCGATTATGGTTTGTTATTACAACCTTAAGTGATGTGTAAGCTTAAGAAAGGGTTAAACAAGATTAAAACTAAGAGATGAATGTTTTATTTGAGATTGAAGGAAACGGGTTTTTGAATGATAGGTTGGAATATGAATTTTTATTAGTATATTTGACTTCCCAAAGAAGTAAATAAGAGATTAAAATCTCCAGGTATGATTAAAAACATGTTAGAAAAAGTGGTATGATTCTTTGTTTGAGATGTTCTTAGGAGATTTTAGATGTTATAAGAGGCTAAATGAAGGAAAGTTAGTTGACATAAGTAAGAAAGAGTATAATAGTATTGTAGGAGGTTAAAGTAAGGGAATTTGACCAAATTTGGGTAAATATTGAGCTGAAAATGGAAAATATGGGTAAAGGTATCGGTACTGATAGAACATTACCGATACTATATGTTTAAATGGGTTGAAATTCAATGAACGGTATCGGTACTGATGCAAATAGTATCGATACTGATGGGATATCGATAGTAAAAGAAAAGTATCCATATCATGGATTCTAGAACATTGAAATGGTATCGATATTGAAAGGGATTATCGGTACCATAGTATAGAAGTATCGATAACATGGTATGCGTACCGATACTATTGAGCTAGAAATTATAAGATAGGCTGAAATTGTTATAGAAATTGAAAATAATAGTACTTTTGAGTATTATTAAAGTATAAATGTTAGAGAATATACTAACATTTGTATGGTATGTGTACTAAATGGGTGTTTGTGTATATTATAACCAAGCTCCTGAGTCAAGTAAGAAAAAGGGCAAGGACAGAGTTGTCGAGTAGTTGGACATCACTACATCATATTTGGGAAGTATATCAGGTGAGTTCATATATTATAATTATATGGATTGAGGAAAACTCACAATAAATCCACCTTAAATGTTTAAATTAATTTATGTTTTACCTTATATGATATATGTTTATAATGTGTGTGGAATTCATATTATGAGTAAAAAATTAAATGCCTAATTGTGCATTTGGCAGAAAGGTGCCCATCATGCTAGTTAGATGAAAGGTTAAATGCCTTTGAGTAAAAGATTAAATGGTTAACTGTGCATTTGGCAGAAAGGTGTCAATCATGCTAGTTAAATGCCTTTTGGTAAAAGATTAAATGCCTTTGGGTAAAAGATTAAATGCTTAACTATGCATTTCGGAAAAAGTGCCAATAATGCAAGTTAGACGAAAGGTTAAATGTCTTTAGAGGAAATAATAAATGTTTAACAGTGCATTTTGACCTAAAACAGTGTCATTCATTGATTTGACTAAAAAGATTGTAAAGGAGCCTCACGAAATAGATGATTTATCATGGTTTTGATAGTCAGGACATGTTTATGAATAAATTGTAATTCTTTTAAAAGATTATGCATCACTAAGTAAATACTTAACATGTGTTGATTTCACGTGTAGGTAAAAATCATAGATTTGCTGAGTAAGGGGTGCAGCAACAATAACTATCATCAATTAAAGGTTGACTCGTCAGTAACATTAGGACAATCATAATCATTTTGAAACTGAGATGGCATGTAATTGAACTTAATAAAATATTTTGTAATGTATTTAAAGTGATAGTTTTAGTAATATATTCCAATTAATGTTTTATCATGGTGTTAAATTATGTGATTTTTAAAAATTGAAACAAAATTTCACAAGTTTTTGAATGAGAAAATGTTTTAAAAGAGATGTGACATTTGTATCTCGTGTACGAAAAGGTATACGGGAGATGAGTGTTACATATAGAGTCTGTTACAAGATTGCCACAGCATATCATCGACAAACAAATGGTCAAGCTAAAATATCCAACCGCGAGATAAAACATATTTTAGAAAAAGTGGTGAATCCAAGGTGGAAGGATTGGTCACCAAAGTTAGATGAAGCACTCTAGGCGTATAGAACAACGTTCAAGACTCCTCTATGCATGTCACCATTCAAGTTGGGTATGGGAAGGCCTGCCACCTCTTTGTTGAGCTCGAACATAAGGCATATTGGGGTATTAAAAGATTGGATTTTCAGGCTCAGTTAGCTGGGGAACAAAGATTACTAGAACTTAATGAGTTGAAAACGTTTAGGGCATATGCATATGAAAATGTGAGGATATACAAGAAAAAGACAAAGAAGTGGAATGAGCAAAAACCGATGCCACAACATTTTCATGTTAGCCAACATGTGTTACTTTGCAATTCCATACTTAAACTTTTTCCTGGGAAGCCCAAATCTCGATGGTCAGGACCATTTGAGGTGCATTATGTTTATCCACATGGAGTAGTTGACATCAAGAACATATATAATGGGATGGTCTTAAAAGTTAATAGCTGGCGTCTGAAAATTTACAATGGAGCTCCACCTGTGTTCAACAAGTCGGTGGTTTACTTGCACAACGCTTGAGTGTGCCTGCCTGAAAACCAAATTTCAATGCCACAAAATTGAATTTCACTGATTGTGCATAAATAATAAATTTATTATTTCCTTTTTTTTATTTTACCTAGTGAATAATTACATTTTGTTTTATTTTACATGGATCCTCCGGTATTGCAACCATACGTTGGAATGGTTACCAAGGATAGGAAAAAGACAAAGTAATGAAAAAGGGGATATATTATTTTATTCTTTCTTTCTTTATTTTAATATATTTCCATTTTTTAATTACCTTTTCACATGTCATTTATTACCTGCAGTTACTTTTTCACCTACACATTTACCTCATCCAATCATTTTCTCTTAATCTTCCACTCACTCCATCTCTCCCATTATTTTTTTAACTTTATCTCTTCATCCCTTTCTTCTCTCATTTTTCCTCCATATCTGACGCCATTGAATCCAAACAAGGCTCTCAACTTTTCTTCATTTCACTTTCAAACTAGCATAAAAATGTTACAACCAAGACCTACGGAGGTCGAAGCCCATATTCCTTAATAGTTTGTTGACGACGTGACAATGCAACGATTTCAAAACTTTAAAAATTGTAAGCTTTTCTTCAAGTTGGGGTTTATTTTCATTGATGAACAAGATGGTGGTTTCGGCCCGGACGTAATGAATATAGTTGAACCCCACAAGTGGCATAAGTTTTCGAGACACCCCGGTTCTATGAATGTATCGTTGGTGAAAGAGTTCTACGCGAATATTTCCAAACCAAACCAACATGCAGTTTACGTTCGAGGTAAATACATTTTATTCACATTGTCTTCAATTAATAGGTATTTTCATTTGCAGGATGTTGAAGATTAACATGCAAACTTTGAGAAAGATGCCGACAGTGCCACATACGATGTAGTTTTTGAGGATTTATGCTCTTTAAACATGACTTGGAACGATTGACAGACTAGCCTTTACTATGTAAATTGTGAATGCATCCAACCATGCTCAAATCTTGGAAGCATTTCATGAAGCATAAGCTCGTGCCAACTACCCACAATACAACGATATACCTCCCACGATTAATGCTTTTACACTCTATTATGGACACATGTTCTATTGATGTGGGTAAAATTATTGTTGAGAAAGTGCATGAATACTTGGGTAAGAAAGTTGGTGCTTTAGTCTTTCCAAATCTTATTATTGCTTTGTGTTGAAAGAAAAACTTTTGTGATAGTTCTGTTGATGAAGTTTTTTTTGTGTTTCGGGTATAACTAGGGCTAGGTTGCCATTACTGCTAGGTTTGGAGAACCCAAAGTCTAAGGAAACTATGAATTGAGAGTCTGTGGATGACACACCTTCCAATGCCGAGGCAAGAATGCTTACTCTCAAAGAAGTTATTCTGGAAACACATATTCATTTACATGCTTTGCACCGTGAGATAAGAAACTTCTTTGGTTATGTTAAATGCAGGGATTCTGTGGTGGAAGCCATGTTTTAAGAAATACTTCCTCACATTGAACGGAATTTCCTAGGGCTCCCCGATGAATTTCTACCAGCATTTAATGCTGAGGCATCTCTTGAGCTCGATGATGTTAACCCTTCATTTGATGAGCCGATTCCAGAGCTCCCCAGTTCCTGACTCCGGACACTCTTATGGTACCAGCTGGAAAAAAAACTAGTTAGTTTCCTTCACCTGAACCTTCTCTCGCTCGTCGAAGTAGCCGTCGTACAAAGACCTCAACCGAATGTGTCAATATTGTTGAAAACATTTTGATGTTTTGATATAACAAATTAATTTAAATGAATTTTAAGATTTTAATGATTTTCTAAGTATATTCGATTTAATTACTGGAATATCAAAATATTACTCCAAGTCTTTCAAAGTTCAATTTCAATCCTTACTAATGTGTAAAATTGTGTTTTTTACTTAAAATATTTTTAAAACAATTTTCACAAAGTATTTCAAACCAAAAACGAGCTAAAAATCAAAATTGAGACGGGATACACCGATGCACTCATTGATACAGCGATGCACTAACCATATCGAATGCATTTTATGCATCGATGCACTACCATGCATCGATGCACTCAGGTTTTATGAAAACATCGAATGCATTTTATGCATCGATTCACAGACCATGCATCGATGCACTCATGCTTGTTTAAAACATCGAATGCATTGATGCACTCACCATATTTGAATTTTACACATAGTGTACCGATGCACTAGCCCTATGCATCGATGCACCAGACGATCCCACTAATTTTATTAATTGTTTTCACACTGAAACGACTCCATTAACTCCACTAATCATCCCCAACGTTCAAAATCAATTGAAGGAGTATTTAAACAAGCTTATAAGCCATTGATCAACAAAAAGAAACAACAATCAACAAGAATCAAGAGAGAACCAAAGAGAAAGCATCAAACCTCAGGTTTGAGCAATTTCATGCCAAATTTCATTCAATATTCATCTTTGCCTTCAAGAACACTTATTGTGCTCAATTGTATTATTCTTGACTGTTCTTTCTTTATTCTACAATTGTGCAAACATCTTGCCTTGTGAGGATTTTCTTGTAAGTTTGCAAAATTTGTATTGTTCTCTTTGGGAGAGAGTGTTCTCAAGAATTTGGAGTATAATTCTTGAGGGATTTGTAAGGTTACTCTTTGTCCTCAAAAGAAAGACAAATTAGTGAATTTGTGGAAAATCCTTAGTGTGAATAGCTAAGGTAGTGGACGTAGACTTTGGTTGAGAAAGTCGAACCATTCTAAATCTTTGTACAATTACTTTCAATTTTCTGTAAAAGCTTCCACCAATTTTTTAATTGCCAATTCACCCCCCTCTTGGTCGATTCCATCAATCGATTAACTCAACAATTGGTATCAGATCCTCACTCATTTGAAGGTTTAATCGCCTCTTAAGTCGATTCGGGAAGAGTTACATCGATAATCAAGTCATCAATGGCCTCTACTTCAAACTCTGACTTCGGTCTTGATTCATTGCCCGTCAATAAGCCTCATTTCTTAAATGGAGCTAATTACGCTTATTAGAAGAATAGGATGATGTATTTCATTCAAGCAAGTGAGATGGGGGCATGGAATATTATAGAAGATTGATACATCAAATCTTCCACTCATCCAAGATTATGGAGTGAAGGAGATACGAAAATGGTCCAACTCAACTGTAAAGCTATCCATATTATTTTTTATGCTCTTGGACCAGATGAATATAGGAGAATTTCATCTTGTACAACTGCCAAAGAGATATGGGACAAACTACAAGTCACTAATGAAGGCACAAACGAGGTAAAATAATCTAAAATTAGTCTTCTAACTCATAGCTATTAAAATTTTAGGATGAAACCAGAAGAAGATGTCAAAGCTATGACGGATAGATTCTCCACAATTGTCAATAGTCTCAAATCATATGGAGAAATCATTCCAAATGATAAGCTTGTAAGGAAGTTAGTTTACTCTCTTCCAAATGCTTGGCAATCAAAGAAGACGGCGATCATCGAAGCTAAGAACTTAAAATCCTTGACCCTTGATGAACTTATTGGCTCTCTCCTCGCACATGAAATGATGCTTAAAGAAGAGGAAGACCTTGAGAAAAGAGACGAGCCAAAGAAGGATTTGGAAAAGAAGAATAATGTGGGAGTTGCTCTCAAATCAATAAAAGATGAGAGTGATTCGGATGAAAATGATGATGACGAGGAGATGACATTGTTTGTCAAATGGTTCAAAAAAATGATGAGGCCAAACCGAGGAAGAAAATTCAAACGAAATAAAGGCTTCAAGAATGAACCAAAAGAAAAGGACCCGATCATTTGCTATGAATGCAAAAAATCGAGGCATGTCAAATATGATTGCCCACAATTAAAGAGAAATGGTCAATCAAATAATAAGCACAAAGCTCATGTGGCTACATGGAGTGATGAAGAAGGTTCTGATGAAGAGAAACAAGAAGTAGCAAACTTGTGTTTGATGGTATTGAGGGAAGATTCTAAGGTAACCTCTAACTCATTTCATTTAGATGATTTATCTTATGATGAGTTATTAGAGGAATATAATGGGTTGTCTTCGGATTATGAGAAATTGTTTTTAAAATACAAAAATGATATTTCAAAATTGAAAAATGAAAATAATATCATATCCAAGACCAACAATGATCTTGAAAGTAAAATCAAAGATTTACAAATCAAACTAGAAGAGTTTGAAAAGAAAAATTATGATTTGCAAAATTTACTTTCAAGAGTCAATGATGATCATCAAAAGGAAATTGATGATCTTCAAGCTTCTTTTGATAAAGTTGAATCAAAACATTTTAAAAAATGAGAAAAATCAAATACCAACTTTGTTAGAAAAAGTTTTAGAAACTACAATCATAGAGGTCCCCAAAGAACGTCTAATGGAAAAATCGTTAGAAGTATATGGGTTCCTAAAGGACTCATTACTACTAAAGATAAGGATATCCTACACAAATGGATACCTAAGGGGACTAGGATTTTGGAAACTAATGAATATGGACCCAAAAGAATTTGGGTACCAAAAATCAAATATTAATCTATGTTTGTAGGAAAATGAGCATTGCTACAAGGCACGAGAAACAAATTCAAACTCATGGTACCTTGATAGTGGATGGTCAAGACACATGACCGGTGACAAAAGCCGGTTCATAGAGCTCAACGCCAAAATGGAGGAGAGGTGACTTTTGGTGATAACTCAAAAGGTCACATTAAAGGTATAGGAACTATAGGTAATACCTCTTCCATACAAATTAAGAATGTTTTATATGTGAATGGATTAAAGAATAATCTATTGAGTTTTAGTCAATTATTCGATAAAGGATTCAATTTCATCTTTGATATTAATGGTTGTAAAGTCATTGACATTGCATCTAATCGGATTATGCTTGTTGGTCATAGAATAGGAAACATTTACATGGTGCATTTAGATTCCATAGATATGACTAATTTATGCCTAGTTGCTAAAGATGAGCATGATAGTTGGTTACGGCATAGGAGACTAG